TGTTCATCTGTCTTCATCAAAAGAGTAACTGAGCATTATGGGAAATTTAATTTATAAACATCTGTAGGGCCAGGGTTAGCATAATGCTTTTTGAGTAGATTCCAAAGAGTATTTCAGATTCAATAAAGCCCATTTTCTAATTAATATTTAAAAAAAAAAACTATACATTACGTGAACCTTAAGGCCATGAAAAAATTGAATTCCTTTGCTCTTCAGAGATATCATAGTCTTTCTAATACACTCATCATAAACAAACTGACATTAACATTGACAGCAAATGTTAGCAAAGCCTTTCAATCAATAGAAAATGAAAACAAATGCACAGATGACTCCTATATATAAATTCTCAATATATATATATATATATATATATATATATATACATATATATATATATATATATATATATATATATAATGGGGATTTATAAACTAAACACCAATCTGTAGTGAATTGAAAAACGAATTTCAAAATGTAGCAAAATGTTTTGATTATTTTATTTTAGCCTAAATTTAAATTTACTGCAAAATGTGTTTAATGTGTTTAGTGTAAAAGTCATATAGATGAAATGTCACTAACAATTTAAAAACACCTTATCTAAGCAAAAATAATCGGGGGTTTGTTACAGTACATGATCATATAATGCATAAGCCTGCAACAACGTCAATGTACCCTATTTTTGGCAGGTCCTACTCTATTAGCCTAATGTCTGCTCTTATGAGATTAACCCTCTTACTTGGGGGAAACAATTCCATCTGGGACCCTGAGGTGAGGCACCTGTGACAGAAAGGGGTGCAAAACCAAGGAGTTGGCCTGACTCCTATATATATATATATGAAACCAGGGGCTGGACTCATCTGAACATGCTTAATTGCAGTATATATCAGTTCCTACAGAGTTACTTTAAACACGTATGTGTGTGTATATACACACACACACACACACACACACAAATATCTCAAGCGATTTAAAGAAATTAGATTGAGGTTGGTTCCAACCCAACCATAAATTGTATGGCTCCCTCCACATATATTTACTAAAGCCTCTTCTAATTCAGCTGTATACCACATCCTAAGTCCAACCTTAACCTCTAATATGTTCAATTCATCACACAGCGACAGCAAATCTATAAATGAATTCAGAGTATTATATAAACTTATATTTATAAACACATATCTGCTGTATCACCCCAGAGCCCCCCAACCCCAGTCAGTCTCCCCTCAGCAATGCCCCTGATAGACAGATTGATGTCCTAAGGAGGAATAAGAAATAAATGCTTTTTAGATTGGAAAGTGCCAGGCTTGATTTTCAGTTGTCCTATATTTGATGTTTCTATTAACCAACATGCAAACAATATATATATATATATATATATACATATATATATATATATATATATTTGATATACATGTTGATGTACCATCACGGTTTCAAGGTTATATAATAAAATATTTTAACGGTCACTGAAAAACGCTGACTTAGTAACAAATGTTGCATAAAAGGTGAAGTATCACTTTAATATTTTAAGATGTGCTTCTCATATTCTGTGGTTACAATAATACTTTGTAACCGTGTTTTATTTCATTGTATTATTGGCCCTCTCGTGATATGCAGCTTTTATAGAATACAGTTATTTGTGAATGTGGAAGCCTATTGTTAGCTCTGCCAGAGCCCTGTATAATTTCACATAAAATCTAATTACAGATTCAAAGCAATGTAGTAAACAATGCCTTACCCAGTGATGCATTATAATGTACAAATATCTTGTTAGACTTATAGACTTGACTAGGCCGTAATAAGTAAAATCCCAAAACATGTAATTAGAAAAAACAATAAAAAAAGACATAATAATTCTGACAAAATACTGTAACAAAACTTGGTGGCAAATAAGCCAGAACTCTGGCTTTTTACAGTGAATTACAAGGTATGCCATGTTTATCCCCAAAAAGAACACTGGGAGTTCTAGTTTATACCGAACTGATGAACCCCAATTTTATTTGTTTGTTTGTTTGTTTTTACTTAACTGTGAATATTCATTATACTTTTTCTACAAAGCAAAAGTTTAGCTTCATTAAAACAAGTTTTGCTATTCTATTCAAAAGAGGCAACAGTAATGACTTCAATAAACAGAAACATTCTATCTTCAAGGGATTCTTAACATTTCAATATTTTGTTCTTGAAGATAATATATTGAGCATTATTTCATACACCCAGAATGCCAATAAAGGTGTCCAGAGTGAAATAAATGAAAAAGATTTAGAAATAAAAGTCTTGTGCTCCACCACAATAGATCATTATCCTCAGGGCTCTTATTTTGCATTAACACTAATCTTTTAGAAAGAGCCCTTGCCAGATTCTTATTGCATTTTAGTTTTATCTGAGATTTGTATTGATTTGAAAGAACTTGACTTATACTGTTTCGATAAATTTTACTAGTTAACTCCAATGAGTTTGGGTGTTATATGGAGAACCTGAATGAAACTTTTCTTATTGCTTCAGGGCAACTTGTTTTCAGGTCAAAATGTTGCTATTCCCAGGTTGTCGATTCGAAATGGTGTGAATTTTTCTTGTTAGAATTATGTGGGGTTCTTTCTCCACACACTATTGGAAAATACATACACATATATATTTCTCTCTCTCGTGTAATTGGATACTTTAGAACTTGCAATAACAAATTCAATAACTCATTTGTTTTTACTGGGGTAAATGCAAATCTTTGTTAAGCAATTGTGGGATTTATATTTTGTTCAAATCTTAAATTAAATAGCTCCCATGACATAGTTCTAGATGCAATTTTATTGCAAAGTTTCCTTTAGCCTACTACTGTATTTTATTTGTGCTTTCATAGTTTTATTTTTCTAATATATATGTTCAACAGAGGAATGTTGATACTCTAACAGGGCCTAGGTTCTGCATGAGAATGTAGAAGTTACAGATTATCTTAAGTATATTCCTTTACATATATTACTCTATTTTATATATTTATATGTACATTATTTTAACATATATCTCATCCAGTGAGGGAAAAAACTATTTGATCCCCTGCTGATTTTGAATGTTTGCCCACTGACAAAGAAATGATCAGTCTATAATTTTAATGGTAGGTGTATTTTAACAGTGAGAGACAGAATAACAAAAAAAAAAATCCAGAAAAATGTATGTCAAAAAAGTTATAAACTGATTTGCATGTCAATGAGTGAAATAAGTCTTTGACCCATTCAACTTAGTACTTGGTGGCAAAACCCTTGTTGGCAATCACAGAGGTCAGACGTTTCTTGTAGTTGGCACACATATCAGGAGGTTTGCACACATATCAGGAGGGATTTTGTCCCACTCCTCTTTGCAGATCCTCTCCAAGTCATTAAGGTTTCGAGGCTGACATTTGGCAACTCAAACCCTCAGCTCCCTCCACAGATTTTCTATGGGCTTAAGATCTGGAGACTGGCTAGGCCACTCAAGGATCTTAATGTACTTCTTCTTAAACCACTAGATGGACCTTGTGGGCACTCCTAATCTCAGCTCATTACCTGTATAAAAGACCCGTAGGAGTCAGAAATCTTGCTGATTGATAGGGGATGTCCAGGGGAGCTTGCTGGGTTCTCAAATCACTGAAATTATTCTGGTCTGCTCTTGCTGAGTTAAGCTTGATTTAACATTGAACTTGTGAGGTTTATACCTAACAAGCTGCTGAATGCTGCTGAGTTCAGGTCAGGTATATAAACCCTAGTGGGGTGTTTGTACACGTATCGATCTTGATAAAGTTCCACGTCTTGGGACAAAACGCGCCGATCTGTGTATACATTTCTGCTGGCTGTTTTCATACCTCCGGTCTTCCCTGTGTTTGGTGCTTTATCTTCATCTGGCTGATTACCGCGGTCTTTTGCGAAGATTCAGACCGCGGTGAATCTACAAGGGCATTCACAATTCGGGCAGCTTTTTGATTTATATCCATTTCCCTGCACCTATACTTTATTATTTCACCCCTGCCACGGTCTTTTTTGAAGATTCCGACTGCGGTATTAGGGTGCTGGGGTCTCTTATATAAGGTGATTTTGGCTACTCGTTGTTTGTTTGTTGCCCTCCATTATTTATATCCAGCATCTCTGAGAGGTTCTCTGGACATTTGTACTTTATTTTTATTTTTTATCTTTACATATGGTGGGGGCCCACACCGAGGTCAGGTATCTTTTATATTTATTTATATTTATTATTATTTTTATTTATTTGAGTATTTCTGTATTTTTTATTTTTATGTTTTTTATGTTTTTTTTCCAACTATCTCAACTACTTTATTATATATTGCCTTTGATATACCTGTTTTTAATATATCGAGTGGCAATTGTTTTGTGGAGGTACTTGGTGGAGATTATCATTATTACATATTGCTACATATTACTGCTATGAGTATCACTTTAATTTATTTCAAAGTATTTCTGTCTAGTTAGATCAAACGTTGAGGATTGGAAACAGCTTGTTATTTATTAATTGATTTTATTTTTTTATATATATGTGGTCATTATTAAAAGATTAAGTATTTTTCTATATTGTTTAGGTTTCATATTTAAAAGCGCACATATATTTATTTATTCTGAGTTCGTAGCTCATTAAGTCACTTATTGGTGTATGTAGCTGCTTTTTATTTTATTTTATTATTTGTGTGTACCTTTATATATAGATTTTTGATTGATAGGGGATCAAATACTTATTTCACTCATTGACATGCAAACCAATGTATAACTTTTTTTTTTTTATATAATTCTTTATTTTTGGGGAGCAATAAGTAAGCAAAACATTACAAATAGTGTAGCATGCTCCACAATCCAACAAAAAGACACCCGAAAAGGGTGCTACATAATGAGCAGTGCTCAATTATAAGCTGAAGACATTCTTGTATCTCGCTAAATCGACTATACCGTGTTTCCCCGAAAATACACCCTACCCCGAAAATAAGCCCTAGCCAGATTATCGGGGTGGGCTGCAATATAAGCCCTACCCCAAAAATAAGACCTAGGCATTGCACCTTTGCGGCCCGGTGAGACTTCCTTCTTCTACCGTATGAGGAAGAGGGGGAGGAGCGTTGGGGGCCACGGCAACGTGCAACGTGATGACGACCTTTCGCAGCGCCGTCAGTCTGCCTTCACGGATCTTCAGCGGAAGGATCCATTTCCGGGCGGTGAGGCACCCAGTGGTCGGACTCGGCGGGCAAGGAATCTTTGAAATGTGAGTAGATATTTTATGTCTGGGACTGAATTAAAGGGGGGTGGGGGGTGAATTAATTAAAGGGGGGGGGGTGAATTAATTAAAGGGTGGGCTGGATTAATTAAAGGGTGGGCTGAATTAATTAAAGGGGGGTGAATTAATTAAAGGGTGGGCTGGATTAATTAGAGGGGGTGAATTAATTAAAGGGGTGGTGAATTAATTAAAGGGTGGACTGGATTAATTAGAGGGGGTGAATTAATTAAAGGGGTGGTGAATTAATTAAAGGGTGGGCTGGATTAATTAGAGGGGGTGAATTAATTAAAGGGGTGGTGAATTAATTAAAGGGTGGGCTGGATTAATTAGAGGGGTGGATTAATTAAAGGGGGGGGTGGATTAATTAGAGGGGGGTGGATTAATTAGACAGGGTATTTTGATCCCCAGACAAGATGAGTGCAAAGAGAAAGAGCTGTACATACCGGTACCGTAAATAAATAAGCCCTACCCTGAAAATAAGCCCTAGTGTGTTTTTTGTGACTAAAATTAATATAAGACCCGGTCTTATTTTCGGAGAAACACGGTACAATGGTTTAAGTTTTATATATGATGAATGGTAAAAAAATAAAAAATTTAAAGAGGTGTTGTAAAAGGGTTTGGTGCAGGAATTTAAGGTTATGATGGGATCTATGTGAGACCATGGCCTGTCAGACAGTGTACTTTGAAGATCCCATTGAAGAGCCGATTGAAAGCAAAGTATATAATTAGGTCATTAGGTCGGTGAATTTATGACTTTTTTGACATGCGTTTTCTTTTTTTTTTTTTTTATTCTGTCTCTCACTGTTAAAATACACCTACCATTAAAATTATAGACTGATCATTTCTTTGTCAGTGGGCAAACGTTCAAAATCAGTAGGGGATCAAATACTTCCCCCCCCCCTAAATGTACATCCATATATTTGCATAACTCTGTCTACTAAAAACTCCCAGCAGCACAGATCATAGCAGAATAACCAATCAGAAAACATTTAAACATTACACAAAAAGCCCTGTCAGACTAGTCAATTGCTCTTTCTTTGCTGCTCCAGCCAAGCACAGGTCAGAGTATTTTGTCCTCATGATTTCTTCTGTATACTGCTAATATAATTAATGTTTGCTGATTTCTGAACTCTAATCTACTTATTCTGCTGACCCCACTACTCTCAGACCTAGATGTACTTTGTTTTTATGACTATTTCTAGTTTCACCACCCAAGGCCTACTCTCCCCGATTCTTGCACTGGAGCCAGGGTCTGTCCTGCCTTCATAGACCCTCGCATGTTGTGACCGGCGAAATTCCGGTTATTTGCTCATTTTTGAGCTGCATCCTGATTTTTCAACTTTCCTTTGCATGAGCATTATGGAGCATGTGTTCAGCAAGTAAAATATTTAATTTTCAAGTTTGTAAATCAGCTTTTCCTGATTTTCTGAGCTCTTTTCAGCCCCTCAATTCCCAGAGTTTCTCAGACAGTGGCCATCTTGAATTACAGCCAAGCATCCTCCCTGATACTTTTCTTCTTTTATTTATGAAATTTAATGTTGAAAAATGCAAAGTTATGCACTTCGGCATGAAGAATACACAAGCAACGTATACCCTTAATGTAAGCAAATTAGGGATAACAACACATGAAAAGGACTTGGGAATTGTTATAGACAACAAACTATGCAACAATATGCAATGTCAATCAGCAGTGGCCAAGGCCAGTAAGGTATTGTCATGCATGAAAAAGAGCATTCATTCTCGGGACGATAATATAATTTTGCCTCTTTATAAATCACTGGTAAGACCACATATTGAATATGCTGTGCAATTTTGGGCACCTGATCTAAGGAAGGATATTATGGCACTAGAAAAAGTGCAGAGGCGGGCTACAAAATTAATAAAAGGAATGGAACATATCAGCTATGAAGAAAGGTGAACAAATTTAAACCTATTTAGTTTAGAAAAACGTCACCTGAGAGGGAATATGATAACATTATACAAATATATTCGGGGCCAATACAAACCATTGTGTGAAAATCTATTCACAAACCGGACTTTACATAGGACACGAGCCATGCGTTTAGACTGGAAGAAAGAAGATTTCGTCTAAGGCAAAGGAAAGGCTTTTTTACTGTAAGAACAATCAGGATGTGGAATTCTCTGCCTGAGGAAGTGGTTTTATCAGAGTCCATACAGATGTTCAAACGGCTACTAGATGCATACTTGCAAGAACAGAATATTCAAGGATATAATCTTTCAATGTAGGGTAATAACTGCTTGATCCAAGGATAAATCTGACTGCCATTCTGGGGTCAAGAAGGAATTTTTTTCCTAGCTTGTTGCAAAATTGTGCTTCAAACTGGGTTTTTTGCCTTCTTTTGGATCAACAGCAAAAAACAAATGTGAGGAAGGCTGAACTTGATTGAAGCAAGTCTCTTTTCAGCTATGCAACTATGTAACTATGTAATGTGAAAATTGGACAATGTGCCAAGAAAGCCTTAAATAACACAGGGATATGTTCAGTGGGTTTCATATTATGAATCTATCAATCATTACAATTTTAGCACCATCTTTTTAGCATATTGAATAAACCTAATTTATGGTGGTGCTTATAAAATGTTATACAAATTTTAGACCATGTTTATCAGTGCAGAAAAAAGTATTAAAGGGACACTCTAAGTTCCAAAACAATGTTCAGCAGAATTAAGCAATTCTGGTGTACAGATCATGTCCAATTTTCATTCCATTCATCATTTTGCCCTTGCCCTTGCCATACCATCCCTGGATGTGACACACAACCTGACTCCTAATTTTTTAAACTTCACTTATTGTACAGCCTGTTTACTTTATTATTTTATTATTTATATAGCACCATCAGATTCCGTAGCCCTGTACAATGGATGGACTAACAGACATGTAATTGTAACTAGACAACTGGACGTACAGGAACAGAGACATAGAGGGCCCTGCTCAATGAGCTTACATTCTAGAGGGAGTGGGGTATAGTGACATAAATGGTAAAAGTAGGGGTATGATGGAGGTTGTTAGAAAAGTATTCACTGAGGGCTTAGTAGGCAATTTGTGACAGTTGCAGGAGAGGAGTTATGGGGGTGGTTGATAAAAAACAGCTACAAGTTTAATTGCTATGCTTTCTTGAAGAAGTGAGTTTTCAATGATTTTTGAATGAGTGGAGACAGGGTGAAAGTCTTACGGAGAAGGGAAGGGAGTTCCACAGAAGAGGTGCAGCCCTGGAGAAATCTTGGAGGCAAGCATTAGAGGTGGGAGTATGGAAAGAGGATATACTTAGGTCTTTGGCAGAGCGTAGGGGCCTTGTGTATTAGGGAGGATAGGTAGGTTGGAGCAGCATCATGTATATATATACACACACTACTAAAACTAAATATATATACTAAAACTACTCTATTAAGCCTAAGTTATTTTGTGCTTAGAATATCCCTTTAAATAATAGACTAAGGGAAAACAATTGTTTGTCTAATTCAGTTTTAGTAAAACAAAAAACTCATGTGGACAACCACATTTTTTTACTAAAATCATTCTGGTTTGTCTAAACTTTGTTAAATGATTTTGTACATTAATTTTATTTAGGAAAACCTGGAGTACATTTTTAACCTCTCACCCATTGCTAGCAGATGAGGGGTTAAAAATGGAAGCAGTGAGAAGAAAACCTGAGAACTGATTATTTGTTCTCATAGCATGTCTAGTGTTAGACAACACAAAGGTAAGTCATCATCTACAGACACAGTACCACACTGTTAAGTAGTCCATGTTCTCATTCACATGAAGAGATAAACTAAACAAAAAAAGGGGGGAAAGGGGGAGAGAAAAAGAGAGAAATAAAAATAGTTCAGCAGTGTTTTTACTAATATCCTAGTTGTAGGACTGAGACACTATAAACACCGAATCAAACAAATGTCCAGTTTTATTCTGCACAGTATCTGCATATTTTATTTTGTTTGGTACAAATTATTCATAATATAACCCCCTTATGGTTTCCTTGTTATCTTTTCCATTGTTGCTTCGGGGCATGTTTTTGTTAAATCCTCCTCATCTGTCAGTTTGTTTATGTACTCTATGTACTCTTGCTGTGGCTTTACTCATTACCGCAAGGCATACAGTTGGAGAAATCTATATTTTTGTTCTTATCCTTGCCTACTAGAAAGTCCCTTGGCCTCTCAACACCCCTGAATCATCACTACTGCACGATCTTCCACAGCCCTAGCTTTAATTTGTAGAACAAAGGTACTTCTATACTAAATTGCTCCCATATCTTTATTCAAGGTATCTAAAACGTTATGTGTCTAATGTATTATGTTGTTTAGCCTTTACTTTATTTTTGTCTAAACTTTATGTTTTTTTATTTTAATATCCCTGGGTATTTATTTGGAAAGTGGCAAATGTCTTATTTTTATTGCTCATTAATTAATATAGATATACCATTCAATTATCTATATTATTATTTAATATTTATATATATATATACACACACAGTATCTCACAAAAGTGAGTACCCCCTTCACATTTTTGTAAATATGTTATTATATCTTTTCATGTGACAACACTGAAGAAATGACACTCTGCTACAATGTAAAGTAGTAAGTGTACAGCCTGCATACCAGTATAAATTTGCTGTCCCCCGAAAATAACTCAACACACAGCCATTAATTTCTAAACTGTTGGCAACAAAAGTGAGTAAATGTTGGAAAGTGGAAATGTTCAAATTGGGCTCAGTGTCAATATTTTGTGTGGCCACCATTATTTTCCAGCACTGATTTAACCCTCATGGGTATGGAGTTCACCAGAGCTTCACAGGTTGCCACTGGAGTCCTCTTCCACTCCTCCATGACGACATCACGGAGCTGGTGGATGTTAAAGACCATGCGCTCCCCCACCTTCCGTTTGCCACATCCTGTTTCTGTTCTGCGGAGATGTCTGGCCTTGGCTTCTGGTATCCAGTACTCTTTTTACAATTCTTGTTTAGTTTTTCTTGGTTTTTCTGGTTTTCTATTCTATGTCTGG